AGTGGTGCCTTGGGGCGTGCCCGGGATCCGAACCCGGGCCGCCAGCATCAGAGCGCACGCACTTAACCGCTAAGCCACGGAGCCGGCCCTATGCCACTTTTTAAATTGTCTTCAACTCACTATTGGATATTTCCTTTCTTTGTTAATTTGCTGGTTTATCTCTTCCCCTTTAAAAATGTAAGTGCCTTGAAAGAAGATTGGTTATGCTTTTTACCTTCATATCCTCAGCAGAACAGTGCCCAGCACATGGTGGGTGTTCAATAAATATTTGTTAAATGCGTCAACAAAGAAATGCATGTTTCTTGGGGCTGGCCCCATGGCGCAGTAGTTAAGTGCGCGTGTTCTGCTGCTGGCAGCCCGGGTTCGGATCCTGGCGTGCACTGATGCACTGCTTGTCAGGCCACGATGTGGTGGTGTCCCACATAAAGTGGAGGAAGATGGGCACGGATGTTAGCCCAGGGCCAGTCTTCCTCAGCAAAAAGAGGAGGATTGGCACGGATGTTAGCTCAGAGCTGATGTTCCTCACAAAAAAAAAAGAAAACAATTCATGCACGCTTCTTGTTAGATGCATTAGCCTATTTTCTTAATTCAAGAATTAATACATCTCATGTCATTCTGTAGAATGTCATAATCTCATTTTCTTTTTTGTCCCATTTTAGCCTTGGCATCCTTCTTGTTCCTTGAAACTTCAGAGATGAACATTTTCTGAATATCTTGGGTACACTTTCTCAGCGTGTGTGATAGGCTTTAAGGATCACGGAAGAGCACTATTCACAGTCACATTTGTGCCTGTTTCACTGGTGTTTCCCTGCTGCTCACAGCATCTGTGTCCTTCAGGGACTGTGCTCCTCAGCTGTTAGCATTCCCATTACTTTGTGTGTTATTTGTTTGGAACGTTGGTTTCAATTAGCTATTTGGATATTTTTTTAAACTTCAGTACTCATACTTCCCATATCATCCCAGGAAGTTTCTCATTCTGCATGGATCTGCTCTTGGCTGTTAATATGGAGTCTCTGGTCTGATGTATTTACCTTTTCAGCCTTTGCAAATATGCACTCTGGTGCAGAAGCTCTGTAATAGCTATTTTCAAACTTTTTCATCTTTGGAATGCTCTAGCAGGGAAAAGGCCTAGGAAATCTACTTCATTTTCTTCCAAATGCCACTGTGTCACATATTTCTTGTCATAGTAGCAAACTACTACCATCATCAACTCCCTATACATGTTTACACACATGCATGCACACACATGCACAGACACATTATCCATTAACAGCAAAGCGATTTGTTTAAATTTAAATCAGTTCTTCCCTCTCCATTACTTACTTAGCATAAATTAGAAAATAAAATCCAAACTTCCTGCAATGATATACAAGTCCCTAATTTCCTAATACTTAGCATTTTCTCACTGCCTTCTTGGACATACCATCTTCTTTTCTCCCTTGGGTTCTTTGTATTTCACGTTCTCTCTGAATGGAAAATTATGCCCTCAAGTCTTCCCATGAGTAGCTTTTTTTTCACCATTCAGGAGTCAGCACAAAAATCCTCTCAGAGAGGATAAGCCAATGTGAATTAGGCTACTCTCAACAACGTAGGCATTGTAGAGGAGGAAGAAATTTTCCTCTACCCTTCTAGGTTCTTCTGGATGGTCTAAGAAATAAAATCACATGAGACAGATTAACAGGAGAATATCAAACAAAGAGTTTAGTACAAGTATTTATGGGAGAGACCCATAAAAACTGAGTAACTTACCAAAATGGCCGAAGCCACTACTTTAAACACCATTTTCAGCTAAAGACAAAAGAGGCTATTGGGGTAGTGGTTTGGAACTTCAAAGGGGAGGAAGGCAATTGACATGGAGATGAAAAAGCAAATAGTCGGTAAACAGATGTTTGCCATGCCATGCAGAGACAATGGGACATGGCGAGGACTCTAATCTCTAGGCCCTGCCAGGAGTCTCCCCCACCACACCTACTCTGTATTCTTTGTAGATATTTCTGGTGGTAGCTCTGTTCCTGTTACAGGCCATTTATCTAAATTCTTTTAGGCAGTTAAGAGGGAGGTTAAAAAAAAGACTTCCTGAGTCTTCTATTTCTTAAAAATAATCAACCTAAAATAATATGCGAAAGAGGCATATTTTGGGGAGGGGGCAAACTCTGTTCTCCTTCAGCATTCACTGCCTCCTGTATTTGCATCTTCACAGTACTAACAGTTCTGAAATCACTGTGCTTACTTTCTTGGTATCTCTTTCCCACCTTTGATCATTTTAGCAACCAGACGAATGCCTGGAATGTATTAAATTCCTAACACAGTTTGTAGAAGGAAAGAACAAAAGAAAAAGAGAGAGGGAAAGAGGGAGGAGAGGAGGGAGGGGGGAGAGAAAGAGAGAGAGAAGGAAGAAGGAAGGAAGGCAGACAGCAAAATAAAATAAATATATTATTTAAATTAAATTCTCTATTCTTATAGATTCATAGATTTGTAGAGCTGAAATGGACCCTTAACATGGTGTAGCCCAGTGTTTCCTTTTTGAGATTTCCCGGAAGAATAACAATGGTCCATTATTTTCATAATTTCAAAAAATGCAATTACCCATTACAGGGCCTCATGTGCTAACTAAAATATCAATTTTCTTTGCTTAGCACTATAATTAAATTAACCCAGCGATATATTGGTTACCTCACAGCAGTCAGAAGTGCTGATTAGCAGGCGCCATGATTGATTTTTAAAAAGGAGCACACATTTCTTACTGTGAAAGTGATTTAGTTTATTTGAAAGATGGAAGTTCTCCAAAAAAAATTTCTTAGGGAAACATAATGAAAGTAGCATTTCATGATGAAAAATTTGAGAACCACTAATTCAGTCCAAACTCTTCATATGAGAAGTGAGGAAACTAAGGCAAATCGCCCACAATTTTATTCCTAGTTTCAGCATAGCCAATATTGAACCCAGAACTGATTTCAAAACAGTGTTTTTTCTCATGTTGTATATAGCTCATATATGAAGTGGTGTTAAAAAATGATTGTAAATAATTATATTTTGCAAAAAGCAAAAGTATAGATGTAGTCACATTATAAATAATCCTTAACTACTATAGATCACTTCACTGGGCCAACTCAAGAAAATGCACTATATATTATTTATATATACAATTCTGGGATCACAGAATAATATTTTCTGTATCTCATCCTCTCTTTTCTACGCTGCAAACCTCAGTTTATGTTATTGACTGACTGGCAAATTATTTTTTTATTTCAATTTGTTTCAAGATTCGCCATATGAAGTTTTATTTTAACTAAATTTTAGAAGTTATTCACTTGTATATAAAAGCATTCTACTCTCTATCAGGAAAGCCAGAACTGCACAGATTCAGTGACATTTTACAGCAGAAATCATCTTTCTGAAAGGAAAATGCAATTTTTGAGAATGTATTTTGAAATGTAATCACACATAAAGGAACACCAGAGCTGACTGTTTTGCAGATAGACTCTGTAGGTAATGTTATGGCAGGACTGGGAGCCCTGAGGACCCCTGTGTCCTCCCCCTTCTATGCAGCCTTCTAGCTAGTGACTGAAATTCTACAACATGAGTTTCCTCTTCTAATGAACACCCTCGATTTTGTTGTGGAATATATTTTTAACCCAACAAAGAATTGGACCTATCATTTTGAAAAAATTGATGATGTGCAGGTCCTCATAGGTATGGCACTGGAAAACAGAAAAATGACAACTAGGGAAAACGAATACAGACATATAAGATTTGTGTGTTAAAAAGTCAAATATTTTCTAATTTTCAATTTTGGTTTAAAGGTGATCCCAGGTAACCACATTTAGAAATTACTAAAATTCTACTTTTGAATCTCAAGAATGCTTTTTATGTTTTCCATCAGTGGAAATAATTCATACTATCACTAAGAGCTATTTGATCCCTGGCAGCCTGACTCCAGAGCTTCCTGGCAAGCCCCCTTCCCCTTTCAGGCCTCAGTCTCCTTAGTCTCCTCCGGGCACGGGGGTCCTGGGCTGATCTATCATTCAGTGATGGCCAGCCAAGGGGTCTCGGGCACCCAGGGACCTCCAGCCAGGACTTCTGGGGTTTTGAGGCTGCCAGGAGTAGTTGAAGGATCAGAGTATCTGATTTCTGCAGCTGCAGCCATCCTGGGGGACACCAGAGAGGCTACCTTCCTCTCCCAAAGGTTTTCTTCACAGCTGCCCAGGTCTCCGGCTGTGACCAGCGAGGAGGAGGGAGAACGCTTAGCCACTCTGCTCCAAGTAGCTGGTCCGCAGTTTCCCCCATGGTTGTTGGAGCTGTTCTGTAGCCCCATTTCCCAGCAGTGTTCGCAGCAAAGCTTCTGTCTGCTCTCAAGTCCAGCCCCCAGCCCCTATAACTTCCACTTCCCCGGCTTGGCAGGCGCCACCGCCCAAAGGACAGAAGGGTACCAATACCTTGTATGGGGAGCTGCAGGCCCTGGTCTGGCTGCCTGCTCCTCCACCCACCTTCTGCCCTTTGTATCACTAGCACCTGTCATAATATTTATGACTACAAAGTAAAATTAATTAAAGAAAAAAGAAGTTGGAGGCAACTCAGAAGCTCCTGGCAGGCCTGGTCCTCAGCCACAACCCTTTCAGGCCTGGCCGCATGGGGACTAGCTGGCCCAGAGAAGGTCAGAGGTCTGTGGGAACCGGGGCCTAGAAGCAACCCCACCCCCGGTCACCTTCCAGAGCTGCAGCTTTTCTAGCTTTGCCTCTTTTGGGCTGAGAGACTTCACTGAATGTCTGGACTGTTTAATGTGACTACATCGTCCCTGAAAGGACATGATTATGGCCATTACTAGTAAGATACAGTAGAAATACCTGCATCAAGCTTTTCAATGTACCAAATTGCTTTCTCCTACATGCGCCAGTTAACCCAGTAGGCATCATGGTCACCATTTTACAGACGGGGCACCTGAGGCCCAGGCAGGAGATGGGTCTCCTCCGAGGTCTCACAGCCACGAAGCAGCAGAGCAGGGACTCTTCTCTTGACAGCACCAGGACAGGAAGAGTGGTTCTGAGAGGACCCAACGTGGCCCGACATCTCAAGGTGCTGTGTGACCTTGGGCAGGTCACTGCACCTCTGTGGGCCTTGGGAGGCTCATTATGAGGAAGGAAGGATAGGAAGGTGGAGGCAGACAGGCCCATGAGAAGGAGGGGTGGCTCATGTTCCCAGACTGTTTCCCTCCTCTACTCTGAGATGAGGCCCAGCCTCCTGGTTAGACACACTGACTGCATTTGGGGGGCCCTTATCTTGCTTTGCAACCGAATAATTGTTTGTGTGATCATTTATGTCATCTCTCCCCTCCTGCCTTCTTCCCCAGTCTATCCTTACCACCTAGCAATGCACCAGGTATATAATGAGTGCTCAATAAATACTCACCAATTGAATGAATGAATGTTGAATAACTGACTCAGTTCACTCAGGTGTGAGATCATCATAGGACAGGAGAAGATCTGGAGGGAATAATCCAGAAAGGACAGCAGGGCCCCACTGGGTAGCACCTCGTGGAAGGAGAGGGCAGGGTGGGAAGCCGGGCCCAGAAGCCCACCAGTCCTGTCTCCCACTCTGTGTGGCCACAGCGGCATCACTGGGTGCCCCTCTGAGCCCAGATTCCTCACCCCTGTGGCAGAGAGCATCGTAACTCTCTCACAGGGCTGCCGTGCAGCTCGGATGAGGACCCAACTGTGAAGTCCTGGGGCACAGCAGGTGCTCCATAAGCACCTCCATGTCAGAACCGGATCTTGTAGCTCAACTAGGTGACCCTTCTGACCCCTGGAGGAGACGGAGGCCCAAGGCATCTTAGAGTCTCACAGCAAAGAGGACAGGGCCAGGTGAGAGCCACTGCAACTGGATTCATGGGGACGACCAGAAACCTCATGATCACGAGGGGACCTCCCTGGGCTGCTGGATAACCAAGGCTGCAGAGGTCAGCTTGTCAGATTTACTAACACTGCATAGGACATACTTACACTAAATCAGGACTCACTGTTTACCTGAAACTCTAATTTAATTGGGTGCCTTGTATTTTTTTTGGGGGCGGGGGAGGGTAAGGAAGATTGGCCCTGAGCCAACATCTGTGCCCATCTTCCTCCATTTTGTATGTGGGACGCCGACACAGCATGGCTCGATGAGTGGTGCATATAACTGTGCCCAGGATCCAAACTAGTGAACCCTGGGCTGCTGAAGCAGAGCATAGGAACTCAACCGCTATGCCACCAGGCTGGTCCCCTGGGTGCCCTATATTTTATCTGGCAATCTTATCCAGAGTGTCTGAAGGGATCCCTCTGTTATCCACACACACCCCAACATCCAGCACAAATATGAGACCCAGGAAATAAGAGGGATCAAATACCCTGGGGCTGCCTGGTCTGAAAACCTCCACCTGAGTACAAATTATATAACCCAGAACTTAAGGGTCACACTCTCCCATAGGCACACTCCTTTCTTTGTTCCTACCCAGAGGAAGCCTCTTGCCTGATAGTTGCACAAACCTTTCACAATCCTCTCAGCTCCTCCCTGTTTCTACAGTTTTTCCAAAGCAGGTGGCAACCAAGGACGTCACATAGATGACTCATGAGCCACCTTCTCCTATCCTGCACCCTTGACAGACACTGCTAATCGATCATGGCATCCTTCCCACTGATTAGGACTCAGCCTTGGATTCCTCATCAGAACATGGTCTCTCTCTCCGGGTCTCAGTAACTTAATGGACAAAAGAAAGAGAAAGCCTTCATGTAGGGGAGATGGTGGGGCAGGCAGGATGCCCAGAACAGACTAGGGGGGCAGCAAGGCAAGCACAAGCTTGAAGCACCACTCACCCCTGAAAACATAAATAAGAACCACATCCCCCTTACTGTGGCAGGACACAGCAGCCCTGGTGAGACCCCACAGGGCCAGAGTTCAGGGAGGAGGAAAGGAGCGAGGATGAGGACTTGGAGAGTGAGAGAGAATACCTGTGCAAGGTGAGGTGGGAGCCCAGTCAGGGCTGGGGATGAGAAGCAGAGGGGCAGGCCAATCAAAACAACCTCTGGCTACTCCTCGGAACGAAGCTGAGGTGTCCAGGTACACAGCTCAGGCTGCAGTAGGAGCCAGCCCTTTTCCTAAGCACACACAGACCCCATGGAGCCCATGCCCTTTTTCCCATTTTACAGAGAAGAGGGGCGCAGAGAGGGAGACCCAGCTCAGAGAGGAAGACCCCTCACACCTGGGTGTTACCAAACCAGGTTTGTTTTTGCCTGCTGCCCAGAAAGCCAAACACAAAGACAAGATTGCAGCAGTGAGAGGGTTTTGCCTTTTTTATTTTTCCTGAGGATGATTAGCCCTGAGCTAACATCTGTTGCCAATCCTCTTCTTTTTGCTGAGGAATATTGGCCCTGGGCTAACATCTGTGCCCATCTTCCTCTACTTTACATGTGGGATGCCTGCCACAGCATGGCTTGATAAGCAGTGTGTAGGTCCGCGACCAGGATCTAAACCTGCGAACCCTGGGCCACTGAAGCGGACTGTGCGAACCCAACTGCTACACCACCAGGCCGGCCCTAAGAGAGGATTTTTTAATCACAAGGCAGCCAAGTGAGGAAATGGGATAATGAGTCTCAAGTCCGCTTCCTCAAAAATAAGAGACTTAGGGATATTTATGGGGTAGGGGGCAAGGTGGTCTGAAATGTGGAGACAGATGATTGGAGGTGAGGTAATTGATGATCTGTGCAAGCGTAGTGCCTCTTCATGCCACTTCAGCCTTCATGCCTCTTCACAGGATGCATGCTCACAAAATGGCGGCATTAGCATGACCTGAGGGTGGAGTTTTTAGCCTCTTGACGTCAAAAGGTCTCTTATCAGACATGTCAAAAGGTCTCTTATCAGACATTGGTGCGGGCCCAGTTGATGAGTTGGTAGTCTCAACCAGCCTGAAGTGGACAAGGGGTTCTAATTCCTGAAAAACAGCTCAAACACCCATTACCATGGTGACCAAGGCTCTAGGGAGATGTTATGTATAGGAACCTAGTGGGAGTCAGATAGCATATTGCCTAAGCAGTACACCTAACAATGGGTGGGGGTAACAACTAAGAGCTATAATCAGTCATTGCAAAAAGGAAAAAAAACTTTAGTTACTAGCTACTTAATCATCAATGGCTAACTGTTTGCCCGTTTCAAGGGCACCCGGCTCCTAAAAGCAGAGCTGAATCAAGTCCAAAGCTTGGCACTGCCATGCCAGAAGCTACCCTGGAAATGATTCCAGATCCTTGTTTTACATGTAAAGAAACCCGAGGGACCAGAGAAAGGAAACAACTTGTCTGAGGTCCCCCAGTAAGTTGGCGGGGGAGTGGGTAAATAAAGGAAGTGTTGTGGGGCACCCTAGGACTGGCTGGGTCTGAATACTGATGCAGGGCACCCTCCTCCCTCAGGGGTGCCCCAGGGAGCCAGCCACTCCAAACCCAGAGACTGTCTGCAGGCCAGGGATCCAGGAGGTTCCTGTTTCTGGGAGCCTGGGTTTCTGGACTTAGCTATCTGCTAGCTGAGAACAGACTAACAGATGGGAATACCTTCCGGAAACCTCTCAGGTTTCACTGCAGTGGGCAGCTCTGGTCTTCGGAAGGCCGTCAGTTTCTGAAAAGATCCCTGTGATATTGTGATTTATAATTAGAAATATATATTTGGCCTTCATTCCCATTCCTGGCACAGAGCTCCTAAAACCCTTAGAATTTCCTAAGTGAAGAGAGCGATAAAGGTGTCTTTTGCTATGTTAATGAGGTGACTTTTAGAATGCACCTAAGGATGGGGGCTGCTTTCCAGGAGAACTAACCACCTGATTAGAGGGTTGGAACTTTCAGTACCACTCCCTTGACCTCCAGGGAGGGGAGAGGGGCTGGAAGTTGAGTCCAATCACCAGTGGCTGGTGATTTAATAAACCATGTGTAGGTAATGCAGCCTCCATAAAAACCCAAAAGAATGAGGTTCGGAGAGCTTCCAGATTGGTGAACACGTGGAGATCTGAGGAGAGTGGAGAGGAGCACTGGGAGAGGGCACGGAGGAGGCTCCAGGCCCCTTCCCCCTACCTCGCCCTATGCACCTCTTTCATCCAGCTGTTCCTGAGTTATATCCTTTCATAATAAACCAGTAATCAGTGAGTAAAATGTTTCTCTGAGTTCTGTGAACCCCTCTACCAAATTAATCAAACCCAAGGAGGGGGTCATGGGTGCCTCCAATTTATAGCCGGATTTACAGCCAGTTGGTCAGAAGCCCAGGTAACAACCTGGACTTGGATTGGCATCTGAAGTGGGGGGGCAGTCTTGTAGGACTGAACCATTAATCTGAGGAATGTGACACTATCTTTAGGTAAATAGTGTCAGAATTGAGTTAAACTGTAGGACACCCACCTGGTGTCGGAGAATTGCTTGGTGGCGTGGGGAAAACTCCCACACATCAGAATTGTAACCTCTCTTCTTGTAGAAATCCCTGTCTGACCCCCGTTGGGGCTAAGACCCAAGACAGGAAGATACACCCATGGAATCTTCTCTCCACCTGAGGCCCAAGCTTTCCCGCCACAAGAAGAGGCTCCTGCTTCCCTGGTCATCCAGAGGCCCCATCTCCCAGCAGCTGCTGTGTGGGAGCCTACAAGCCAAAGACGCTGGCTAAAACCTAGGCTCCCTGTCCTGACACGTGGGACCCTGAGTTGGCCACTGCCCTCTTGAGCCTTAAATTTCTCACCTGTTACGGGGACAGTAATAACGCTGTAAGATAATGCAAGCATTAAAGATGGGAAACATTTCTGAGAACTACGAAAAGGCTGCACACGCCATTGTCCGTATATTCAGATTACCCTGAGATACAGGGGTCAAAAATGATAACACTAATAGGAGCAACAAGAAGAGCAAGAATAATGATAACTACCATTTATTGAGTAATTGCTTGAGTAAGTACCAGTCACTGTTCTAGAACGTTCATAGTTTTTCTTCCCTGATCCTCAAAAGAGCCACAGAAGGGGGATTAGACATCACGTCCATTTTGACAGAGGACCCTGGGGCCCAGAGAGGTTAAGTGACATGTCCTG